CGCGTGAAGAGAAAACATTAATTGTAATTAAAGTCATTTAAGAGTTTTTGACAGTCATAAGGATGATTTGCGTCGGCAAATAGGCACGACTTTTATTGGCATTGGAAACCAATTTTTCAATAATTAGATTATTTAAAATCACTTTAACAACACTGTCTTCAATATCATAAACAAAATGTTATAGACAATGTTCATTTCTACATTACATAATATTTTGATTAATTGTTCGGTTATCTCTTTTTGTGGTTCACTGATTTTCATCGTTATTTGGGGTTAATGAATTGGTTTGCGTTAATCTTTCTCCCATCATGTGTTGTAGATTGGAATCTACTTAGCGTATTTTGTAACCAACTTCAACAAGTAAAACTGTACACTACAACAGCATGATTTACTGGTTTTTTTTTTGAAAAAAATTGCTGTATATGCATATACAGAAGTCGTTTATGTCAAACATCAAAAATTCTTGGAATATCTCCTTTGTTTCATCATTCACTTTATCTGATATACTTCATGTTTAAAAATAATTCTTGTTCACCAAGGAAGCATATTCATGTTAGTGTCGTTAATTGAAAATAGCTTGCTTATTTTACGTTTCATGATAATCAGTGCATAAAATCTGTAGGTACGAGACGTTATATTTCACTTATTGTTGAAAAATACATGAGTCCTTATTATTTTTCAAGTAATACAGTGCATCTTCATTCGACTTTAGTTGAATTTCTGATACTAATTTATATAGTATTAGAAACATCGGGAGATATATAACTGATGAATAAATAAAATACATTGAATCAACCATGGGAAACGACTAGAAGCGATTAAACTAAAGTGGATCACGGTTCAGGTATGCCACTATAATGAACAACTAGTTATTAGAGAAAGAACTTGAAAGCGTTAGGAATTGAAAACGGAATAAATAATAATAATAATGAGTTAAGATAATGGTATTTACAAAAGATAGTTTTAACTGAGACAAAAATATTAATCGGAGATGGAATAAAATAATTATAATAACAGCTAATAAGTAAAAGAAAGATATTATTATTGTTCCCTTGGGTTCTGAGTGGAACATAGGGCTTCAACAACACATCTCCTTTTCCTTCTATTTTCTGCCGTCCTCTCCACCTGGGTCTACGATTGCCCAAAATCTCATCTCTTCCTCATACAGTCTCCTCCATGTCACCCTTGTACCGAGAACCCTCTCGTCGTTTCCCATTTGGATTCCAAGCAATGGCCTGGCGCGCGATGTCATTCGACAGTCTCCTCAATGTATGCCCGATCCATCTCCATTTTCTCTTACATATTTGTTAAGCGATCGCCTCTTGGCCGCTTTGTTCCCACAGTTCCTTGTTAATAATTCTTTCTGGTCGGCTATTTGATCTTCACGATGAAGCTAGAGAAGGCAGATGTTGATGAAAGTCTGCAGTGACCTGTTGGAAATCCTTTGCGTGACACGCAGGCCAAGTATCTCACCCGTATAGAAGAACTTACCGACTTGACAGTGGTGTTAAAAATGCCAATCCTGTCTCTTATGTAGGCTGAGTGCAGAGGATTCCCAAACTGGATTCCGGTTGATGAAGGCGTATCTTGCCTTTACGATTCTTGCCTGCTTTGACATCTTCATCCGTGTCATCCACCTGTAGTTGAAACGTTCCTTCCCGGCTGGATAAGTGAAGGAGGCAGCCTCTGTTAAATCTCTCTCGTTGATGGTGATTGGTGCTGGTTGTTGTTGTTTCTGCTGCTGCTGTTCGTTGTTATTCTTCATCACCTCCACCTTCTCCATGTTCACCTGGAGTCCTGTCTTCAGTGTCTACCTCACCTCTTCTGCCAGTTTGTTGGTTTTCACCTGTGTGTCTTCGAGTTTGTGTGACATTAGATATAAATCATCCACACACGAAATCCAGATCTTCTAGAGTCTTCCTGTCAGCCATTCCAACATATTTCTGTCTTCTGACTCCCACATACAATCTGACTCATAATCCAGTTGAGTACCACAATTAAGAATACCACCAGTGATGGTATGTGGGCAGCCTTGTATTACTCCTGTATGCACTTTGAACGCCTCATCGAGTTTTCTGTTGTGAATCAGCTGACACGTAGCACTACCATATAGCCAGCTGTTGAATGAGGTTGATAAAGACTTGAGCACTACACTCTGTAGTGTTGAAGTAGTTTCAAAATTACGTCTGTTTGTTGGAGGCCTTTTCGAATTCGATGAAGTTGAGGCAGGGGGAGGTTTGACTGCCATTCTGTGCTTTGTTGTGTGATGACGACGCGTAGAGTTGCAATGTGATCAGCAGACGATTTGTCCTTTCTGAATCCAGCCAGCTTGTTCTGGGTGGTGGTCGGAGTTCTGTATCCAGTGCATCCTTTATTCGCTCTAGGATGATGCGACTTCAGTTTTCGCACAGGCCTAAGTCGCCTTTCTTCAGCAGCTTGACGAGGTAGCCAGCCTTTCTTCCAATCGGTAGGTGTCTTTTCTTTTTTCCAAACTTTTTGTATTAATGAAGTGAGCACAACTGCCGCAGTCTCTCGGTCTGTTTTCAGTGCTTCAGGGGGGGATTCCGTCTGGTCCTGCTGCTTTCCCGGCTGGCCTTCAGTAGCTTGATCGCATTTAGGATTTCTGATTTCGTTGGAGGATTGGTTTCTACTGGCAAGCAGTTCTGTGCGTGCTGTTGGTGGCATTTCTCGCTGAGTTGCAGGTGGTTATCGATTCAAGAATTCTTTGAAGTGATCAATTTGAAGTGATTATTTGTTTCTCCCCCCTGGTAATCAGGTCCCCTTGAGCATCTCCAGATTTCTACTGTGTTGATCTCTTCCCCGATAGAGACCTGGTTATCTGATATAATTTCCTTACATCTCTTTTACCTGCTACTTGTCTGTTCTGCTCCAGTTGTTAGCCAGTGTGTCATAGAATTGTCGTTTTGTTTTTCCTAGCACTCTTCTTCATTTCTTTATTTAGTGTGGTGCACATTGAAATCAGCTTCTCCCTCTGTTGTTCATCTTTGCATTGAGTCATCTTCTCTTCCAACATCCTCCTCTTCTGTCTTCTATATGCTACCAGATGGGTGTTCATTGAGAGTCATTTTTCCTAGGACAGTTGTACACGTTTATTTGAATATCGCATTCAGACAGTGAGTTCTAATGTTCTTTCACGCAGGTTTCCTCGTTGATAACACATAGTGTTTCCGACTTTGCTCTGATTTGATCTGTAGTGCGGGTGCCACTTGTAGTTCTGTCCTTCAGTTTCTGAATGTTGAACTTGAATAGTGGCCTGTCTCCATTGGTTTTCATGGATTTCAGTTTCACCTTGAAGGTTTCTTGAGCTAGATAATGGTCCAAGTCTACATCTTCTCCCCTTCTCGACTTTGTATCCAGCAGACTAGCTACGTCTCCACTTCCCTGAGCAACATTGGTATGCAATCTATCTGGCTTGTGGTGTGTCTGTCAGGCGAAATCCATGTTACTTTGTGTGTATCCTTGTGCTTGTACACGCTGCCTACGGTCAGTAGGTCATTGAAAGCACAGAAGTCTGAGAATAATTCCCCATTCTCATTCATTTCTCCGAGCGAGAGCCTGTCGACCCATGATGACTTCTCTTCCTGTATTGTCTGCTCTCAGTTTGGCTGGCATGCATATCGCCCATGAGGATTTTGATGTCAGGATTCGTAGTGTTCTCGGTTAGTGTTTGTAGTTGTGTGTAAAATTCTTCCTTTTTTTGTAGCACTGTGTATAGCATTGGATAATTGTGACCCTCCTTCCTACCTTTTGAGTGGAATCTTGCTGTCATTATCACGCAGGAGGAAGTTGGTTCCCACTGCATCAGAGCTTTGGATACCACTGGTGATATCATGATAACCACTCGCTTCCGCAGTGTGCTCGTGGTTGTCGTCTGGATGACCAGACTGGAGTAGATTACTGACTCTCCAGTTGACAATTTTCACAATCCACTTCCATTTCGTCTGCTCTCGCAGATTCCGAGCACTTCTATGCCATATCTTCACATTTCTTTGGCTACCTGGACACCCTCCCGAGTCTCGTAAATTGTATGAACATTCCACGTCCCCATTCGTATTCTCGCTTTCATCTAGAGAAGACACATTGGCTAGATGACTGGCTTCGCGAAGGCTTTCAAGAGCCCGTTGTGTCGTTTCGCCTCTCCGATTTGATCAAAGAATAAGATTGTTCTTTGAAGTTTTTGTACTTTTAATGTACTTTCTGTGCGTTGAAGTTTCTTTAGAGGTTTGATAGTTTTAGTGATGTGGGTTTGCTAGCCCCACATCCAACCCTCCAGCTTTACCCGAGTTGGGACCAGCTAGAAAACTAGCAAGCTAGTTAACTAGGGGAGGTTAAAAGAAAGATATTACTATAGCTAATTCAAAGTAACCATGATTTTCTTTCATACACAGAGAGTGGGTTTATAAACTCTTATTGCAGAAGCCTCCGTACTTTAGGTACTACGATAAGTTACTTCTTGATTTCTTAGAAAAGTTAGGAACCGTTTGATTTAATAAGTACGGAAAGATGAAACATTTCATTGGTAAAAAGAAACCTGTGTAAAATATTTGCGTTTCGTATTTTTGAATGTATTATGGTTAAAAGTGAATATCCTAACGAATTTTTATGGACCTTAAAACTTGCTTTTAAACGTATAAAAGCATAAAATTATAGAAGTTATTCTGCATTTCTTTTTTTTTTGTTATAATTTACATATAATATTCAAGTGAGTGGTTATTATTATTTTTTTAATGACCTCTATTTCTTGTTCTCCTTTTTATTACAGAAATTATGTTGTATAAGATAGATAACATTATTAATAAACTACTACATAAAAATATGATCAACAGTACCAGATATTCTATACTGTCTGAAAGGAATTTTAGTGTTGTATGATTTCGACAACGAAAGACACTAATCCAACTGTCTTTATATAAGAACAAAACTTGTGCAAAGTGATACGTTTACTGTGCCATTTGTGCAGTACCTGCAGTGGTTATAAAATGAGGCGCTCAAGAAAAGATCAGAAATCAGGATCATGGAGACATATGGAAATTAATAAGGAACGTAAGTCAAAGTGAAACACTTGGTTATTATTAATATTACTATAATGTGCGTTATACCTTTTTCAACTTGTAGGACTGAATTTTTCCCAACAGTAATTTCACTAATAAGTAGTTGTCAGCTTTTACAATTCTGAGGAAATATTTTCTTACTTCTGTCTGTCATCTGGTAGACACTGTATACCATATTTCTTAATTTTGTTTTAATGAATCACTTTTTTCATTTTGCGTGGTTGAACAATTCGACAGTAATTTGTTATGAGTGTTGGAGTGGTTATGTATGAGAATTATTAGGAAATATGATATGCATCTTCTTATACTTTTGGTGTTTAAGAGTGAAACGTTGGATAAAGTTATCACATAAAGCTACAACACCTTTGAATTCATTTTGGCCAGTATCAACAGCCAAAGATATGTGGTGTCAGCTTTGTACACTTTAAAATACGCTTATGTATTCTTGAATACATTCAAGAAAATCAAAAACTTAACTGTAAGATGAGAATTTCACTTACAGAGTCCACTGGATGTTTACTTAAACAACTAAGACAGACAAGTAGTAAAATGCCTGATAGCTCAATAGCATGTGAAGTAAAACCTGAGACCGATTTAATTGGAAGTAGTATTCTTTGCTTAAAAATCACTTTTTTTTCATTTTTAAAATATGGCTTCGTCATTAATACTCAGAAAAACTCATTGCCTCTAAAATCCATCAGGTTATATACATAGATAAGTACTACAACCTAAAATTTCAATCATTTCTCGTTTGCTTTACATTTGTCACTTGTTTCATAATACACTAATAAGGCAATAATTGTCTTCATAATTAAGCAGGAAATAACTCAAAATATTAACATGCCTTAATGTCAAATACTTCATAGTAAATTAGACTAAGTTTTCATGCATAACAGATGATTATTAGTTCCTTCATAAAAAGGCTGCTAATGTTTTTCTACAATTTATCTGTCTCTTCCAATATGACGTGATCATTTTAACTAAAGATGTCAACTGGGAATCTTTTACACAATATTCTCCATTAGAAATAAATTAAAGTTCCGAACTAAAATATATATTTTTTTCATTTTCCTATGATTTCCAGTGGCACTGTTGCAAAACGAAATAAATTAGTATACTTGAGGTCTGTTAATATCCAAGCTTTAATAGTAGAAATATTAACGTCATGGTTGCTTTACTTACCAGTAGAAGCGTCACCAATATTTCAAATTTCAGAATAATTAAGTGTGCCTAAAACGCTGACAATGCCCAATAATTCATGAAGTAAATAAAAGGCAATTCACCAAAGAAAGTTTTCTTTATCTGCTTTCTGAGCTACCATGCTGTATGTGGTTGTAGAGGAGGTACTGAGAAAGTATGATTAACTCACCAAGGCACTCTGATGCAGCCGTGCAAGACGCTATGAAGATTTGTCATTTGGAGAGACAAAAACTAGTGGTATCAGTCCGTGATTCCAACTGTCTCCAGTTTTATCTAATTTCAATATAGACGAGTGTAACTGTTAGAATTCGGTTTTTTAGAGACTGAACAATACCAGGGAAATCTTATCGCTGTAGAGTAAGCTGATGATAATGCCTTTTTCGGTGAAGATGCTGTAAAAATGAGCAGTCTTCTGGAAAATTTGAGCGGAATTCTGTCAATATTTGACATGCACCTATCAGTTATAAGATGGTGCTACTGGGTTGGTATGTACTAATTCCTAGTTGCATTAACTCTCATGGACAAAGTTGCAGCACGGATTTAAAATGACCTGCGACATCTTCCAACGTGCTTTATATTTAGCACTGGGGTTTTATTCAGCTGTTTATACAGGAACGTCTTTAATGTAATGCAATCTGTCATCTTTCCTATAAGTCTTCATCCATTACGTTTTTATTAAATTCTTTTTCCTACTTTTGTGTGCTTTTTTTAGTTGTGACAGCATGAGCTGATGTACTTTTGTGCGAAGTTTCAGGTCGATAAGTTAGTCAAACATATCTTTTTAAATTTATATCATTTTCTGGTTTCATCAATAGTATAATCAGCATGATACCATAAGGTAAAGTAATTTCTAAAACTGTACACACTGTACCCCAGTTATTGTGGTTAAGTACATATGAAAAGCTTCTCAGTAATTATTACTTTCAAAGTTGTTAACCAGCTAAAATGAATTTTGACTTCGTTGTATTCTCTAAGCCAGTTGATTTAATTGCGAAGCTTTCGTCGTCCATCTTGACAACATGATGATACATTTTTAATAATTAAAAGAAATTATCTGGAATATACCCATAAATTAATAAACAACATATCTGAAGATATTAAATTCACAAGAGAAGAAGAATTAGGCCACAGAATCCATTCATAGTCGTCTGAATCAAGAGAACTAACACAGGAAATTTGGAAACACAATTATATAGAAAATCAAAACATACAGACCAAATACTCAGCTATAGTAGTAGTAACCCAATTACTCACAAAGGAAACTAAATGCAGACAATGTTTAAAAGATTTCAAAGTCACTGTAGCACTCCAGTTTTGAAAAGAATGAGGGAAAAAAGCTACCAACCGTGTCCAAAAAGAATAAATACCCTCACATTGTCATCAAAAGCTGTTTAAACTAAAGTCATAACACCAACAAGAAACCGTCATCAAAGACCTCAAGAAAATTCATCCTACCACATATAAAAATATCTCTGAAGTAATAGCTAGAATGTTAAGACTGTTTGAAATAGATATAACACACAAGCCAGTACAATCACTTCATTAGACATTGTACAAACGGAAAGATCCATCAGAAAAGGGAGATAAAATTAATATCATTTACAAAATATATTGTATAAACTGCCATACACACTACATCGTTCAAAGTGGGCGTCCTCTTCGAATCCGAATTAAAGAATACAAATTAGCTGTAAAAAGGCATGAAAAATATTTTTTCATATCAATGCATGTAGATAATTACGGACACTAATTTGATTGGGATAATGTAAAAGATTTAAATAGAGGAAATACCAAACATGCCAGGGAATTTCTACAAGCCTGGTACTCAAGTAAATCAGCAATTAACAAATACATTGCTACAGATCAAATTTATCAACTAATAAAAAATAAATCACACGACAAAAAATTTCAAATTCCAAGTCAATAAAAATGATCAGGTAACCACCAGTCATGATAGTGGTTGTCAGGAGATACAATTATATCACTCAAGGAGAATTCAAATACGTTCATTTCATACTAAAGCCTGCGCTAAAGATGTCGTCTAGAAGGACGAAGAAAGCTTCTCAACTAAATCAACTACATTGGAGGTCATAAGTAGGTCAAAATCACCCACATGAGCTACAAATTTTCTCCATTATTTCAGCTAGAATGAAACCAGATATTTGCAGATTGTACGGCTTGGCATGATAGTTCACTGCCATTTCTTGTGGTTACGGAAAATAATGAGACCAGAAGATTTAATCCACCCAGTATAATAAATACCCTGGAGATTGCGTGTTTACTATAAGATAAGCACTACTAAGTGATATGAATAGTTGGTAAAGTCTTACACCAAACAGTAGTGATTGATAAGCAAATCCAATTGATCTAAACCATTTGGCTGTCTGGTGTAAATCAACATTTACTAGGTTTGTGACTGTGATTTTCTACTCTTTGAAAAATAGTAATCATGTATTGTTTCTTTAGCTAGGTTTGGTTTGGTTGATTAAAGTAAAAAACGAAGTCGTATCCTCATATTTTTTATTTTGTCCAGAAATGCTGTTAGCGAGTTTATTTACAGTTCACTTTCTCTGATGAGGTGGTTCAGTTTATAAGTAACTCATTAGATAGATGAGCTTGTCTTGGGTGATGCGAGCGGTTATCCTCTGGGTTCAACCAACCTATGTTCATCAGTGATAACCCTGGTCTAAAACAAATGATACACACAGTCGTTCGCTATTTGAGTCATCTCATTTTAGCTGGTGAATACTACTGATTGATGCGAATGGTTTCCAGTTTTTAATATTATTTGGTAGTATTTCCTTGTCAGCTATTATCTCTACTAAAGTTGTAAAATTTTTAAGTTATCAATTTAATAATACATCATAGCAAATAAATACATTCGGTAAATAAGAGTGAAATGTAAATAGTTTTGAACTTTCTTTAAAATATTTCATCTTCCTGTTGTTTTGTTTCGTTTTACCAACAGATACAACTGTAACTATCTGCATTTCACTGAATGCTTTGTTAACGTTGTTGTTGTTGCTGTTGTGTTGTTACTTCAACCTCTTTTTATTCCAATAATTTTCTCAAAATAAGTTGAAAAACAGCAGTTTAACTGAAGTTTATTTACTACGATTATTCACGTCAAAAGCAAATTTCTGCTTTCTAATTTCACTATCGTTGTTTTTACTACCACTATTGTGGTAATCATTCTTCATCTTATAATGTGCAGTTAGGTGTAGATTTGTAGTTTCGTTATGTTAGTACCAATATATATGGTATGCACCAGTTAGGAATATGACATGTAAAGAAAACAGGAAACTGAATATATATATATATATATATACATGCAAATACTGGACTATTCAATATATTTAGGTCATTATTTCTCTGCTGAAGGTTATAGTCTGTACTCTTTTTCTACAATGAATTTTATAAATGTCACCTTTTGTAAAATGTTCATGTCAGTTAGCTCTACCCAATTCGTTTTTCAGTTTCTGTATTGTATTTATGATCTCAAATAAACTTAATGTAGTTCGTCTCATTCTTTTTTGTTACCATAATATGGAATATTCAAGTGTGTGAATCTGTTACTGCGGAAACAATGATCAGCTTACTCGTTTCTGCTCTCTAAAGAAGTCAGAGGCGTTGTAAGTGAACAACAACAATTATACTGACTGTTAATTGAAAAAAAAGTGTTCTCTAAAGAAAATGGTGTACATTTATATACACTTCTATTGTGAATGTCTCAGAATTATGTATTATATCAAAAAATATACAACTCAGAGTTAATGTGTATTTCCCAATATT